TAAATCTCTGTATACATTACTGAATAATATAGTTCTTCATTCATCAAGTTTCTATTCATTTGTTGTAATATTCCATCATGGTATCATTCGTCGATGATCCTGCGGCCATCTCTCTTCCGTTTTGTTGGTCTTCTTATTCAATCGGCCTTGCTCTTCCTCTTTCTCAGAATTGAAAATCAATCGAACCAAAGCATTCAAACCACATTGAATTCCCACCAACCGCTTCTACTTCTGAAGAAGATGAGGAGACTAACTCCGAGTACGAAGAAGTTGAATCTTCATCTGAGGAAGAAGAAGATGATAAAGAACCTCAAACCTAGTCTACTCCATTAATCCAAAAGAGTCTGCCTCCCAGAAAGCCTGAATCTACAACAACTATCATAGGGAACAAAGAATTTCAGGAATATAGGTCTGAGTCAGAATACGAATTTGACACGGCCACGCCGAATGTCAAGCCTCTTGCAACGAAACCCATGGATGACATGAACATGAAGAAACTCATATCCAATAAGCCCTTGTCTTCTCCTGTTAGGGTTTGTTCATCGAAATGGCCTGACGAGACAGAGTTGGATACTAAGGAAGCAAAACGACCCAAGAAGAAATCCGTGAAAGAAGGGAATAACACCGTGACTCCTGTTGTTGAGGAGGTGAAAAATGGTGAAGATACGAAGAAACAGCTTTTCCAGCGATTATTCAGTGAAGACGACGAGATTCCTCTGTTGAAAGGTATGTTGGAATACTCTGCTAAAAGAGGGGTTGATCCTTGTGCTGATATGAATGCATTTTATAATTTTGTTAAGAAATCGATTTATACTAGTGTTATTAAAGCACGGTTGATGGATAAGATTATAAGGTTAAAGAAAAAGTTTGAAAACAACGTCAGAAAAGGTAAAAAAATGTGATGATCAAACCTTTTCTAAAGCCTATGAACAAAATGTTTTCGAGCTGTCAAAAAAGATATGGGGCAAAGATTGAGAGCATAGTTTCATTCTTCGCCTGATAAGAAAGTAGACGACGACATGCCAATAGAGGTCGACAAGGTGCCTAAGAGTTTGGTTAGTAGTTTGTTTGATACAAGGTTCGGTGTGTCGAGCTTGAAAGAGGAAGTTCTAAAGCATGGTTTAGATATGGTTGACAGTGAAAAGAATGTAACTTTGGAGGCAAGATGGAGGAAATTGCAAATTAACAAACTGGAGTTGTTCATTGAGTGAAGTGAATTGGTCAAGGAGCATGCCAAGTTGTAGCTGGAAGACATGGGTCAAATGGAGAAAGCATGTGAAGTGTTCGACTAAATCCTCAAGTTGAATCTGTTCGCTTACTAGACTGCACGAGTATGCTTTGCTGATGGATCATTGCATGGAAAGAGTATATTCTCAAGATGTTAGAAGGGATCGTTGCCCTTTCCCAGAAAGAGAAGAAAGCCAAAGAATCCGAAGATGTTCGATTCATAATTTCCCAGTTACACTTCCTCCAAAACAACTTGGAAAAAGCTTTGATGAGTTATCAGCAACTGGCCAAAGAAGACCCGACTGATTCTAAGTCGTATTTTTGTCAAGGGTTGATACACATGGTGCTTAATATGAACGAGGAAGCTGAAAAACAGTTTTGAATCCTGAAGGAATTCCGGATGAAAGAAAAAAAAAAGAAGAAAAAAAAGAAGAAAAGGAAGGTGAATAAAGTAGAACATAAGGAAGCATCGCACTTTCGATTCAAGTTGAATGAAAAGAAGCATTGCATTTTCGATTCAAGTCGAACGGAAGGAAGTATCGCACTTTCAATTCAAGTAGAATGAAAGGAAACATCACACTTTCGATTCAAGTAGAACGGAAGGAAGCATCACACTTTCAATTCAAGTGTTCATCTTTACATCAAGAAGGTCGAAGAAGTCGGGTGAATGTTAGATGAAACAAATAGTTGTTAGATTGTTAAGAATTAGTCAGCTAAAGTGGTTATCTTGTTGTTGGGCAGTTAAGATCCTTTGTATTCATGTGATTTGGTGTATATAAATCTCTGTATACATTATTGAATAATATAGTTCTTCATTCCTCAAGTTTCTATTCCTTTGTTGTAATATTCCATCAACCTTTAACACATTTTAACTATAAAACCTTACAATATATGCAAAAGAACAGTTGTATCAATCTAAGTGCTGATAAGTCTTTGGATAAATGTGAAATTTGTATTCAATAAAAAATGACCAAGAAGTCATTTCATAGTAAGCGTGAAAGGAATTCACAAGTATTAGATTTAATTTGTTCAGATATTTGTGAATTAAATGGAACTTTATCAAGGGGGAGAAACATTATTTTATCACTTTTATAGATGATTTTTCTAGATTTACTTGTGTGTATCTCATGAAAAAAAAAATATACGAGGCTTTTGATATGTTTAAACATTTTAAAAATGAGGTAGGGAATTTGTTTAGTAAAAAAAATCAAAGTGATTCGTAATGATAGAGGTGGTGAATATTTTTCAGATGAATTTAATGTATTTTGTGGGAAAAAATGTTTGATACATGAATGTTCCGCTCCCGTACTTTGTAGCAGAATGGAAGCCAAAATTAGATTATTTCAATGTGTGGGGATGTTTGGCTTACTATAGAGTTCCTAACCAACAGTTCCTAAACAAGAGCTGTCAAAGGTGCATTTGTTGGATATGCTCAATAATCTAAGGCTTGTCGTATTCTTGACTTAGTGTCAAGTACGATGATTGAATCAAGAGATATTGTGTACATTCAAAATAAAGTTTTCAATGATTCAATGGATTTGGAAAAAGAACATCAATCGATGATCTCAAAGGATCAAACTAAGAGAAGTCTATATGATAATAACGATACACAGCCAAGGAAAGGTAAAAGACTTTGGTCCCGATTTCATTTCCTCACACTTTCTAGCATTCCTTGTTGAGAGAACCAGAGATTCGGTAATTAGGAAGATCTTCGTAATGTTTAATATAGAAGGATGAAGTCATAACTTCTAGGGATACAACATTTTAGAAAGAGGCTTATCCCACAATACTTGGATTCTAGTTGATCTTCCTCAAAGATCGAAACCAATAGAGTTTAAATAGTGTTTAAAAGGAAGAATACTCCAATAGGGGTTTTTCAACGTTTAAGGCTAGGTTGGTGATTAAAGCTGACCCTATTCCCATATGTAATGGGGTGAGGGAGAGGTAAGGTAGTAGGTTGTCCCCAACGCCAGGTTGAGAGCAGCTTCCGTAGAAGACCTCCAGCAGTCAGAATTATGAATTGCCCACCGTGGGACTCGATCCCACGACCACAAGGTTAAGAGCCTTGCCCTCTACCAACTGAGCTGGACGGACAATTCTAGATTGGTGATTAAAGGATTTACGCAAAAGGAAGACCTAAACTATTTTGATACATATGCATCAGTGGCTAGGTGACTTCTATTCGAATTCTTATGGCACTTGTGTCTATACATGAGCTACATGTACATCAAATGGATGTTAAAACGACCTTTTCAAATGATAATCTCGAAGAGGAAATCTGCATGAAGTAATAGGAAGGCTTTGTGCTTCCTGGAAATGAACGTAAGGTTTGTAAGTTGATCAAGTCATTATATGGTTTAAAATAGCTACTGTCAAGGAAGCGAAATAGTTAAGAGATCTGTTGTTAGATATAAAGGTATAGCCATAACGTAAGTCCACCATTTCTGTATATTGTGATAGTCAATTCACCATGGCTCGAGCGTAAAATACGGTGTACAATGAAAAATACAGACATATAAGTCCGAGACATATGTATGAAAGACAATTGATTAGGGACAGTGTGATAACTATTGTCTATGTTAAGTCAATTGATAATTTAACGGATCCATTGACAAGGGATATGATTAAGAGTACAACCACTAAGATGGGACTAAAACCATTATAATCACATCATTGATAATGGAAATTATACCTTCTTCTAGCCAAAAGTTAGTTTTGAGGTTCGATGGGTAATAACAAGTTAACAAATAATAACGTACTAAAAAAATATGATTTAGTGTTTATGTTTTAGGAGGATGAGTTCTACTCTTAATGAACGGACATTAATTGTCACGAAATCCACCTATACGGACATGAAGTGATGTCGTTCAACGATGTTTTTTTTCTTTGTCGTGAGACATGTTTCTTATCCAAAGGTTACATATCATGGGACATGTTTCTTTTAAAGAGATACATTTCTTTTAAAGAGACGTTTCCTACATGAAAGATTGTAACATTTCAAAGTGGTATATATTGGATGCATATAAATAGATGATTCATGATGTTCTCTAAATTAATTTTTTACAAACAATCCGATCTTCTAATACGAGTAAAAATAAGAGAATTTCTTGATTTTGCTTATTAAAGAAAATTCAAACTTTGTTGTATTTCGGGAGGATCTTCGTCTTAATCCTCTAGTAACACACTGTGGGGGTAAATTAAAACCAACGACGGATCTAGAAATTAAAAAATGTCATCCATAATTTTAATACACATTATTTAAAAAAAATTAATGAGATGCTCAAAAAATTATCGGGTCAAGTTAGACATTGTCCAACTTGACTCATTAAAACATCTAGTCGAACTCGAATTCAAATCAAATTAATTTGAGTCGAATATTAATTAAACTTTAATTGAATTTAACTTGAACTACTCACAAATTGTTCAATTTCATGAACCCCTAATTACACATGTAAAATATCTCATTTAAAACTTTATAAAAAAAAATCAAATCGTAGCGAAAGACATCTTCTAGTTCAGTTAAAAATGAGCCCGTAAAATTATAGTTCAACCAAAACACATGGATTATAATTTGAAGGAGTTCTTGTACCAGAAGTTAGGGGAAAATCCAGCATATATATTGTAATTTATGAATCTCAATTATTTAATAAGTCTAACATAGACAACAACTTTCTGTACAGTCACATTCACACTTCTCCGCTTTCTCTCTCCCCAAACACTAATTTTCTCCACTTTCCCACCTGTTTTTCCCTTCCACTTCCTGAGTTTTGCGAGATAGACGGAACTGAAAAGGGATAAAGGTATTGGTCTCTTCCATGGCGGATACAGCAAAGTACACTCCCATCAATGGAGGAACAACAACAACGACAGTCCCTTCTGAGTTTAAGAATCTCTCTTCATTCATCAAAACTAGAAGAATACTTGCTTTCTTCATGTTTGCCTTTGTCGGTTTCACTGTTTTCTTAGCTTTCACCCCTTCTTCTTCTCCTTGGGTCACCAACATCTTCTCTTCAAGCTCCTCATCTACTTCATCACCTGCTTCTTATAGATCTCAATCATCCTCTCTCTTCAATTATTTCTTTCGCAACTCTTCTTCATCTCATGCTCTTAACTCCACCGATTCTGATAGCAATACCAGATCTAATTCAGCTCAGTTAGCCAAGCCACTTTCTGGCAAAAACACCAACAAAACTCAATCTTTCGACACAAATAAGCCACTCCCCAGCTCCAAAAACACAACTTTTGGGCCTCCCAACAGTCGTTTAAACAACACCCAGAGTTCAGTTTTGCATACAAATCAAGCCACCATTTCTCCTTCCCCCAATGTGAATAAAAATTCTGATAAAGCTCATGTTTTGAAGTCTAATCAGAATGCAACTCTCACTGGAAAATCCCTGGTGGCAGCTAATCAGAGCACAAATTCTTCAACCAAGTCTGAATCTTCCTTCAAGCCAAGTTCTGGGGGTGTGGGGTCGAACAACTCAGCTTCCTTAACGCAGAAACAGAGCAATGGGAGTGATTCAGGGCTGTCAGCTAAACAAGGGATTGGAAATTTAATCGATTCTTTGATGAATTGCGATTTGTTTGATGGGAAATGGGTGAAGGATGATTCGTATCCACTTTATAAACCTGGTTCTTGTTCGTTCATCGATGAACAATTTAGCTGTATCGCCAATGGAAGGCCTGATAAAGATTATCAGAAACTGAAATGGAAGCCTAAAGGCTGCACTTTACCAAGGTAATTTGAGGATCTAAACCACTGATTGTATTTTCATCATAGATTGTAATATCTTACTGTTGAATTTTGTTCTTTTTAACTAAACTGATATTGATTAACATGATTTGATCATTTGTTGTGTTTAAGATTGAATGGTGGTCATATGTTGGAGATATTGAGAGGGAAGAGGGTTGTTTTTGTTGGGGACTCTTTAAATAGGAATATGTGGGAATCTCTAGTTTGCATCCTTAAAAATGCTGCAAAAACACCAGAAAATGTTTATGAAGCCCATGGAAGACATTATTTTCGAGGCGAAGCATCGTATTCTTTCATATTCAACGTACGTTTTCTTATCGAAATTGTTGTCTGCGATGCATATTTTAGGTGATGTACATGAAATTTGATGGAACTTATTTTGTTTCCGGGCTCGATGAACAGGATCATAACTTCACTATAGAGTTCTACGTATCTCCCTTCTTGGTCCGGGAATGGGAAATACCAGATAAAATCGGAGCAAAAAAGGAGACGTTGCGGCTTGATCTTGTTGGAAAATCGTCTGATCAATACAAATCGGCAGATATCCTCATTTTCAATACGGGTCATTGGTGGACTCATGAGAAAACTTCCAAAGGGTTGGTTGATCGTATTTCGGTTGAACTTTATACCATATATGGCTGTTATTTGTAATCCATTGTTCTAATGTTGTTCTTTTGTATTGAAAATTGAAATTTTTCCAGGAAAGATTATTACCAAGAAGGTAGTCATGTTTACAATGAACTGAATGTTCTCGAGGCCTTTCGGAAAGCTTTGACAACATGGGCTAGATGGGTTGATGCAAGTGTAAATCCTATGAAGACTATGGTGTTCTTCAGGGGTTATTCCGCGTCGCATTTCAGGTAAACCGATATATATTCGACATTGTTTTGGATGTGCAATGCTATTTGTTCCATTGTGCAGTCCAGTTTTGAAATAGAAGGGGCGGGACAATGGTATTCATTGTGAATTTCATGTTAGTTCAACTATGAGTCTATGACAATGCTACTTCTAAACGAGTTATCGGTTTGTCCAGGGGCGGACAGTGGAATTCCGGAGGGGCATGCGATAGTGAAACTGAGCCGATCAAGAATGGGACATATCTAATACCATATCCACCAAAGATGGTGGTGTTAGAAAGGGTGCTGAAGGGGATGAAAACTCATGTCACCTTCCTAAACATCACCCGGCTGACAGATATCCGTAAGGATGGCCACCCGTCAATCTACCGGAAACACCCGAAGCAAAAGGTGTCGGAGGATGAACGAGTAGCACCCCTAAAATACCAGGACTGCAGCCATTGGTGCCTTCCCGGTGTGCCGGATTCATGGAATGAGCTTCTATACGCAGAGATTCTTGTAAAAGAAAACAAGATGAGACAACATCAAAGAAGAGCTAGGTAATCATACAAAGCTTAAATTCTTTCATTTTGGAATTGTGGACAAAGAAAAGAAAATAGTTTTTATTTTATTTCAATACGAAATTGTGGAAGTGAGATAATAGAATCAAGGGAGAGGTGAATCTTGTGCTGAATTGGAATAGTTACTATGTATGTATTGTCAATAATTAAGAAAAATTATGAAGAGAGATTATCATGTAATCATCCTGATTATTAAAAATATATTTTTTAATATAATAAGAGAAGTTGGGGTTGTAAACGACCGACCAATTGGGGCTTTTATGAAGCAATTAAAAAAAGAGAAAATCGCCTCAGTGACCAAAAAAAAGTTATAATATACGATTTTAACCAACTTTTTTTGGATTTGCGAAAATGACCAACAAAATCGCAACGCGAAATAAAAATCGCAACGCGATTTAGAAAATCGCAACGTGATTTAGAAAAGCGCAACGTTGAAAAGAAAATCGCAACGGTCAAAAGAAAATCGCAACGCGATATTCCAAGAATCGCAATGCGATTAAGAGAATCGCAACGCGATCTTCCAAGAATCGCAATGCGATTCAGAAAATCGCAACGCGATTCCAAGAATCGCAACGCGATTAAGAAAATCGCAACGCGATTCCAAGAATCGCAACGCGATTAAGAAAATCGCAACGCGATTCCAAGAATCGCAACGCGATTCAGAAAATCGCAACGCGATTCCAAGAATCGCAACGCGATTCAGAAAATCGCAACGCGATTCCAAGAATCGCAACGCGATTCAGAAAATCGCAACGCGATTAAGAAAATGAGTAAATTCTTTCAAAAGCTATTGTATTTGTTTCTTTCTTAAGAATTTTCTCTAAAAAGATAGTATCCGCGCGGACGTGTCGAAGACACGTATTACCACGACCACGACCACGACGAGACGAGACGGCGGCGGCGGCGCGCGAGAGTCCCCCTTGTTCTCTTTCACTCAACAAGGAAATGGGAAATCCAAGCCTTAAATACTCTTCCCAATAGTGTTTCCAATACTATGTGGGATTGAGCATTACTCAACACTTCAAAGAAAATATAGCAATTTTTGTAGCATGTTTCCCGCTTAATCCATATTTAAAAATATTAAAACATTTTATCATATTAAAACTATATATATAAGTTTGAATTGAAATGTAGATATCTACAACTCTTTTAATTCTCTTGATAAAATGTTTTAATATTTTTAGATATGGATTAAGTGGGAAAATACTACAAAAATGCTATTTTCTTTGAAGTGTTGAGTAATGCTCAATCCACATAGTATTGGAAACACTCTTGGGAAGTGTATTTAAGGCTTGGATTTCCCATTTCCTTGTTGAGTGAAAGAGAACAAGGGGGACTCTCGCGCGCCGCCGCCGCCGTCTCGTCTCGTCTCGGGTCGTGGTCGTGGTCGTGGTCGTGGTCGTGGTCGTGGTCGTGGTCGTGGTCGTGGTCGTGGTCGTGGTCGTGGTCGTGGTCGTGGTCGTGGTCGTGGTCGTGGTCGTGGTCGTGGTCGTGGTCGTGGTCGTGGTCGTGGTCGTGGTCGTGGTCGTGGTCGTGGTCGTGGTCGTGGTCGTGGTAATACGTGTCTTCGACACGTCCGCGCGGATACTATCTTTTTAGAGAAAATTCTTAAGAAAGAAACAAATACAATAGCTTTTGAAAAAATTTACTCATTTTCTGAATCGCGTTGCGATTTTCTTATCGCGTTGCGATTTTCTGAATCGCGTTGCGATTTTCTGAATCGCGTTGCGATTCTTGGAAGATCGCGTTGCGATTCTCTTAATCGCATTGCGATTCTTGGAATATCGCGTTGCGATTTTCTTTTGACCGTTGCGATTTTCTTTTCAACGTTGCGATTTTCTAAATCGCGTTGCGATTTTTATTTCGCGTTGCGATTTTGTTGGTCATTTTCGCAAATCCAAAAAATGTTGGTTAAAATCGTATATTATAACTTTTTTTTGGTCACTGAGGCGATTTTCTCTTAAAAAAATGTTGATAAAATATTGATTAGGTTGCCCATATTTGTTGTCTCTAAATAATCACATGGGATGTTTTGACAAACCCTTCCTTGTAATAGAGTTTAAATCTAATAGAAATAATTTATTCGATTTTTTTAAAAAAATATTATTTGATTTAAAATCGAGTTGTTTGTGTTCATTTTGTCAATTAAAAAAATAAATATATGCATCTTAATTCAGTTTGTTATTAGGGATGGGTATGGGTTGAATTGGATCGGGTTTTCGGTCAATTCGACCCGACCCAAAAATTTTATATTCTCTACTTGAAATCTGACTTGATTCGAGTTTAGGGTAATTTCATCTTATCCAAAACTCAATCTGATTTTTGAGATAAAATATAACTCCGACCTGACTTAAAATAATATAAAATTATTAGTTTTATTAAATAAAATAAGGACTTAATTGAAAATAATAATATAAAGAGATATTATTATAATTATCCTCAAGTATATAATATATAATTATATTATTTTTTGAATTAGGTTGGGTATTTTTTATCCGAAACTTAAACTCGATCTGATCTGAATTTTTCATCTAAAAACTCAACTCGAACCTAATTTTTTTACCAAAAAAAAAAAAGCTGACCCGATTGAATTAGGTCGGAACTCGTCCAATTCGGATCTCATAATCATCCCTATTTGTAACATTAGAAAGTTATAAGAAAACAGCCTACATTGTCTTAATCAAATTGACATTCACTTTATGAAGCTTCGTTTTCTTCTTAACAATAGAATCTTTTTCCTCTCCTATTAGTGTTCAGTGTCGGCAAGCAAAGCTGGCCTCTTTCAAATTTTTTTTGGTAAATTACATGTTTAGTACCTCAATTATAATTTGGTCCTGTTTTAACTATCCAACTATTTATTTTTTTTCAAAATCATTGTTATTGCTACATTTTAGTTTCATTTTGATCACTCACAGTTAAATATTTGTAGAACTATAGACGTGATATTTTCTTCAACAATGACGTGATATTATCTTATAGTGACACGTTATCATCACCATTAATTTTTTAATGACGGGTGATCAAAATAAAACCAAAACTAATTGTTAGGAATGGTTTTGAAAAATATAGTTGGATGATCAAAATGAAACAAAAATGATAATTGAAGTACTAAACTTGTAATTTACCCTTTTAAGAGAAATTTTAGTTTACTAATTCATATTCTCTTATCATTTATACATTATATATATATTCCACGCCCGGATTTATAAATGAATACTGAAAATTGTTTCTCCCAAGTTGTGATTATGGGGTTCTCTAAATCAGAATGCAAGACTAACCCATATCAGCAGTAGAATCAAGGGGTTTGCTCAAACTTGTAGTTGTTAGGTAATGATGAAATCCAAGCCATTGATCTCCGATAAACTTTGGATCTTAGCCATCCATTTGTTTTAGGTGGATGAATTGGGACATTGAACCCCCAATCATGGAATGGTTTGAAGAATAAACTTCATCTTCTTTCTACAATAAACTCCTCCGATGAAGCAAACTTAATGAATAATGTAACATCCTCTAAACAATCCACATTCGGCTAAGGACGATCGAAGGCCAATTTGAAGTCCATAAAATGTTACAACCAAAGTCCATTTACATTTTGTAAAACCCAAACACACAATAAGTCAATCAAAGCCCAAATTCTAATGTAAATGGATTAGGGTCATCTTTAGCCCTTGTGCCGCCGAGCTCATCAGCTCCACAGCAGGAGCCAAGCAGCCCCCGTACGTTGCCATGCCTTAGCGCCAGCAAGCCAAGGTGGTCCCTCGCCCGAACGTTGCCACGCGAGCTCTCCATTGCACATCAGAATCACATGAAAACAAAAAAGAAAATGAGTGTAATTTGTCATTTTTTTTCAATCTATAAAAAGGGTTAATATAAAACCCACCCGAAACGATTGTAAAGGTGTCTCTCTCCCATTATTTCTATCGAAAGAAACCGTATAAAGGATTCCCATATTTTTCTTTGAAAAAAAAACAGTGTATGTTTTTTTCATTTTCAAAAGCAATACAAACAAAGGAACAGGAAGGTAACAAGAAAACAATAGAAACCAAACAATTTTTTAACATTTTTGCCCTTTTATATATATATATATATATATATATATATATATAGTGCCATTTTCCATTTCATTCGAAGCAAAGTAGAGTCTAGGTCTAGGTTGCTTACCTGTTTTTTGAGCCTGGTATTGGGTCCCTTTGATCTCTTTATGGTCGCTTGGGATCCCGTTGTCGGAGTTCGAGGAAGACGGGAGGTCAAGGTCCGATCGAGGTTCTATTTTAAATATTTAATAATTGATTAGGGTTAATATTAGAGTATGTATTTTTAGGTTTAATCCCCTAGGTTCTTTAAACTTCATAATTTGACACCTTAATTTAAAGGGAAGCCCTTAATTAACTCATTTAGTATAATTAGATTCAATAATCGATTGTTTGATTGCATTTTGTTTTAAAAATAAGACAATGTTCATTTATTAGGAGATTAGTAGTCTATCTCCCGCTTTTGCCTGGGGTGATCGCTATCGATTCCCGAAATAAATCGACATCCTTTTTTAGAATCCTGCATCATAATTTTAAAATTTACAAGGCAATGTTCATTTATTAGTATTGATAACGAAGATTCCGCTTTTGTTTGTGAGTGATCGTTATTGGTCTTGGTAACTCAACATCCTTTTTAAAATATGCATACACGATGAATTTTAAATTAAATAAAATTCTGAACTCGAAATTTTCAACTTTAAAATATAGAATAATCGACTATGTACCAATTTTGGGCGTTGTGGGGTGCTAATCCCTTCCCACGCGTAACTGACTCCCGAACCCGATTTTTGATTTCGTAGACCAAAACTTGGTTTTTTTTATAAAATAAATTTTTTTTATTAAAATTATCTGATTTTAGTTATTTCAATCTCACCTTAAAAATGATTGGTGGTGACTCCCATCTTTCATAAGATTTTTAACTTCCAAAACGTCGAATCGATCTTCCCACTAGAAATCGGTTACAACAAATAATAAGAAATAGAAATTAGAAATGTACATCAAATTAGAGAGAAATTGTCTAACAACACCTTGATATCAATTAGCTAACCTAGAGCCATAGTGTAAGGTTCCTTGAATTGTTTTATAAGACAATGTAAAAGAGTTAATTGCATCACATGTCCTCAA